AGGGGAGAGAGAGGAGAGAGAGAGGAGAGACTGGGGAGAGAGAGGAGAGAGAGAGGAGAGACCGGAGAGAGAGAGGAGAGACCGGGGAGAGAGAGGAGAGAGAGAGGAGAGACCGGGGAGAGAGAGGAGAGACTGGGGAGAGAGAGGAGAGAGACCAGGGGAGAGAGAGGAGAGAGAGAGGAGAGACCGGGGAGAGAGAGGAGAGACTGGGGAGAGAGAGGAGAGAGACCAGGGGAGAGAGAGGAGAGAGGAGAGAGAGACCAGGGGAGAGAGAGGAGAGAGAGACCAGGGGAGAGAGAGACCAGGGGAGAGAGAGGAGAGAGAGACCAGGGGAGAGAGAGGAGAGAGAGGAGAGAGAGACCAGGGAGAGAGAGGAGAGACCGGGGAGAGAGAGGAGAGAGAGACCAGGGAGAGAGAGGAGAGAGAGAGGAGAGACCAGGGAGAGAGAGGAGAGAGAGGGGAGAGTGGGGAGGAGAGGGGAGAGAGATGAGAGAGAGGAGAGAGGAGGAGAGTGGGAGAGTGAGATTCCTGAGCAGTGTGAGCCCTGTACTGACAGATCACGCACTCAGTGTTTGCGATGCTGTCTGCTTGTCCGAGCCTGTTTGCTCATACTCCTGTACCAATAATAACAATAATAATAATAATAATAATAATAATAATAATAATAATAGCACCCCCTCACCCCCTTTCACAACAAAGTTCATCAAATTGGAGCAGGCTGGCTCTGACCTCGTTCGGGCTCTCCCGGGTCAGGCCGGTCGGTTCGGGCTGCAGGCGCCAGTCCCGGGGCTCTCTCCCTCTCTAAACGGGCACACAGACCTGCCAGAAAGACTCCGAACTTTTTTCCAAGTTTCACAAACGCAGCGGGATCCTGCCCAGCGCCTCGGGGTGTCGCCTCTAAAAAGGGAGAACCATCCAGAAAGAGAGCGCGGAGGAGGAGGAGGAGGAAGAGGGGAAGAGGGGCTTAAAGACAGCAGAGCGAGAGGGACTGACAGGGAGAGAGACGGAGTGCCTCGGGTGCGATCTGGACACGCCCTCCCCTCTCTCTCGCTGGGGCGATGTAGCGCTTTTCCTCCGCTCTCACTGCTGATCTGCGGAGTCTCCGGCCGCTCACCCGAGTTTCTCCCTCCGCTGCTGTCGTCTCTCCGGCTCGCCGTTCTCCTCTGTCCCGCGGAACCGGGAGAGACTGACGCTTCGAGCCGGACTCCGGGGTCCGGTTCGGGTCCGGGTCAGCCCGTTCCCCCTGCAGACCGACACCCCGCCCGCAGGAGAGGTAACACGGTACGTGCGACTGATTTTTAGCTCCTTCTCTGTCTGTAGATGTTCGTCTTTCTGTGTCTCTCCGGCAGAAACACAGCGGACCTCCTGAACAGCGGTGTTCACACGAAAACAGAAATTTGCGCTCGACGCGGACTTGTTACGCTGCAGTCAACACAAGCTAACAGCGCCCTTCGGTTAGCACCTAACGTGTCTGAGTAACTGGAAGTTAGTGCGGTGTTTGTTTGGAAGAAAACCCCGTGTCCCGCTTGAGCACGGCTCTGGGAGCCCGAGTGGTGACGTCTCTGTAGTTCCCGGACTGCTCGGCGTCTCGGAACCGTTAGCAGCGGGTCAGGACGCGGTCCGCTTCTGCGGCGTTTGGGAAAAACTCCCGCCTGGAAAACAACAACAATGACCACTGTGGTAAGGGATGAAGGGAACAAGAGTCATTTTTATTGGACGTTTCCAAAAAGTCTTTCTCGAGTTGGGTTAACACTTCCAGACGTGCGCGGACGGTAATTCTCCGCGCTTGCAGCGGTTCCGGCTGCGAAGCTCGGTTTCGGGTTGTCCAGTACCGGTGCTGTCCCTCTGTACCCGCAAACACGGCCGGACCTCTTCCCTCTACTTTGGCAACAGAGCTGACAGAACCTCTGGCAGTACAGAGCCCGCTTGCTCCCCCTCCGTCATCATCTTCATCCCTGCGTCATGGTCATCTTGACCGTGACGTCACTGCCGTGGAGCGCTTCACTTGACAGCATCACAGCACCAGCTCTCCCACCCTCTCACTCTCTCACCCTCACACTCCTGCACACTCATCCTCTCACCCTCTCTCTCACCCTCACACTCCTGCACACTCATCCTCTCACCCTCACCCTCTCTCTCACCCTCACACTCCTGCACACTCACTCTTCCTCCCTCTCACCCTCGCACTCCTGCACACTTACTCTCTCACTCCTGCACACTCATCCTCTCACCCTCGCACTCCTGCACACTTACTCTCTCACTCCTGCACACTCATCCTCTCACCCTCGCACTCCTGCACACTTACTCTCTCACTCCTGCACACTCATCCTCTCACCCTCGCACTCCTGCACACTCACTCTTCCTCACCCTCACTCTTTCACCAGAGGCTGGGAGACAGGGCTGCAGTCTTGTGTTCATACACAATCTGTAGATCTGAGACAGTTTGACAGACCAGAGGTGTAGAATCACCAGGCCAGCCACCACATTTCTCAAACCCTTGACCTTTCGTCTTTAACCCTGTTGAATCCCTTCAGCGCCTCTCTGTAGTGCGCCCCCTACTGGCTGCTGCAGTCTCTGCATTGACACTGTGAGTGTATTGCACAACACTGGACTGAGATCCCGGGGTTGGGGTTTCTGCTGGAATCTAGATGTCTGGACCTTCAGGTCCCTGCTATGAAGTGTCTTAAACACAATCTAGGTATCTGTTTTTAATTGCTAATGTTTCACCCACCATGTTTTCTGTGTCACTTTGCAGTGTGAGCTGTAGGGGGCAGTCTGACCTCTTTGTGGTCTTATCTCCCCAGGGGGCGTGGCCTGGCACCATGTGGAGCTGCGCTGTGATTGGCTGGCTGCTGCCCGCCCTGTGCCTGGCAGCTCCCGCCCACATCAACAGGCTGGCCCTGTTCCCTGACAAGAGCGCGTGGTGCGAGGCCAAGAACATCACACAGATCGTGGGCCACAGCGGCTGCCAGCCGCGCTCCATACAGAACCGGTCAGCACCAGATGAGACAGTTTGTACGAGTACAGCGACAGCATGCTCCAGAATCACCGGGCGAGATGAGTCTCCCCAGCTGTGTGGAGTTTGAATAACTTGTGTCAGTCGCCATGTGGCCTCCGCTCAAGACTGAAGAGATTCAGTTCCTTCAGCCTGTCAGAGCGCGACTTTGCTTTGAGCCCATTTAGCTACCTGGTTGCTCTTCTCTGGACTGATTCCAGAGCAGCGATATAATCTTCGTAATTTGGTGACCGAAATGACACAATATTCTGATTGAAGTCTTAGTAGTGCATAGTACAATTTTAACAGAACATCCCTCAATTTAATTTGACTTTTTAAACAATATATTCCAACATTCTGTTTTTCTTATTGCTCCCAGGATGTCTAGAAGACTTGAGTAGCTTTTCCAAGCTCAGTGTTTCCCATTGTGTATCTGTAGTTTGTTTGTGCTGCCTGTGTGTAACACTCTGCACTTGTCTGCAGTTTGAGAAGTAATCTTTCAAGAGGAACTGTGCAGACTTTGAGTGATTGCGTTGGCGTGGGAGGCTCTGTGTGGGCCGTGGTCAGGGCACTAGACCTCTGGGCTCCCCTCCTGCACTGCTGTCGTACCCTGAGCCAGGAGCTCTGCAGCAGCTCTGTTGCTCCAGTCTGCTGTGTTTGTTGGGGGTGGTGGAGGAATCCAGCAGTCTTGACATTACAGAGAGCGAGATTCTGCCCAGCTGTGTCAGGGCTCTTAGGCATGAATAGAAATGCTTTTCTGTTGTCCTGTTCCAGGGCCTGCCTGGGCCAGTGTTTCAGCTACAGCGTGCCCAACACCTTCCCCCAGTCCACCGAGTCCCTGGTGCACTGCGACGCCTGCTCCCCCGCCCAGGTGCTGTGGGAGGTGGTGAGTGTCAATTCTGTCACCTGAATCAGCGGCGCACCTGCCTCCACACAGCACAGCGCCCCACTGTCACCCCACACCTGCCTCCACACAGCACAGCGCCCCACTGTCACCCCACACCTGTCTCCACACAGCACAGCACCCCACTGTCACCCCACACCTGCCTCCACACAGCACAGCACCCCACTGTCACCCCACACCTGCCTCCACACAGCACAGCGCCCCACTGTCACCCC